CAGCACCACAACCACCACCACGAAAACCACAATCATAATCAGAACCACCACCACCAGAACCACCATCACCACCATCGCCACCACCAGCACTATTACCACCCAAACCACCAGTACCATCATCACCACCACCACCACCACCAGAATCACTACCACCAGCACCAACACCAGAAACACCACCACCACTAGCACCAACACTACCACCACTAGCACCAACACTACCACCACCACCATCATAATCAGAACCACCACCACCACCACCACCACCATCACCACCATCACCACCAACACAACTACCATCATCAACACCACCACCATCACCACCACCATCACCACCACCACCACCACCAAGTTTTTGATTGGTACAATCACAAGCTCCTCTGACGTCGTCCAAGAGACTGAGTCAGAGTGTCTTACAAAAGCTGCTCCACCCATGGTTGTTCTCCCCCATGACTTCACACGATATAAACGTTGCTGTTTCTTTAATTATTTGTGGTATAGCGGTTACAGGCTTCGTTTTCTCAAGCAGGAGACCCGAGATCGATTCCCGAGAAGGAGGGAATTTCTGTCTAATATTTCGGTCTTTCTGTGGGATGCTGTATCACTCTCTGCCTGAGTAGTCCCTGACAGGCAGGGTCAGAAGCCCGCCTCATAAAATGATCTGAATTTTGTCGATGTAGGTGTAAATAAAACTTACAGCGACGCGACGCGACGGAGTTGTGCCCCTTGAAATCTGCCTATGAATCCAGTCTGTATAACCCATACATTACTTTGTCTCCCCTTATGACAGGATTTCCAGCCCCAATCAACACTATTACGTTGCTTAAGAGGCGGGAACGTCCGAATTGAAAGTCCCCTCTGCGATTGGACTGAATCAAATGAGCTGAGACCCTTGAAAACTCCACAAATCGATCCAAGTTCAAGAGCGTCACTTCTGGAATTTTAACCAGGGCCATTCATTGGGTACTTCAATATGATGTCAATTGAGCTGACGTGGACCACCACCCCACCTCCACCCCTATTCTTAGACAGAAACCATTGTATATTAAAACCAAGAGGTACAGTACAGTGATATATTTACTTCGCTTACAGAAAGTGACAGCTCAGAAGAGGTAAAGATCACCTTCCAAGCCAAGGTCTGGGGTCGTTTCGAAGACTGTCAGACACAAAGCCTAAGTGTGGGTTATGCGGTGAAGAAATTCCAGTGCCTCACTCACCCCAGGACATTAAAGGCCAGGTTCCTCTTTCCGTCCAATTTGACATCCCAGGTCACTCTGCGTTCTGTGAGAGTGTTTGGCTGGACGTTGTACAGAGGTGAGCAAAATAGGTTGGGGGTTTTGTTTGTTTGTTTGTTTGTTTGTTTTTATTAATCAAGTACGTAAAGAGTACAACAAAATGTTGTTTAACATAGATTATGTCACAGTGCTCTTTGCAATTAGGGACGAAAGAACAAATACTTAATTGACTGCTGATAAATATTATTTGAAGACTCCTCACAATGCTTGTTATATATGTGAAATTTGGTAAAAAATGATCCACTAATAAGCGAGATAGCCTTCAAATGTGCTCCCCCTCCCCCCTGAAAAGATTGGCATTTTTCTTACATAATAATATACATGTAGATTGATTTTTTTTCATATTGAGAATACAAAGTCTTCAGGGTTCAATTTTATTTCTTCGAAGTTTCATTAAAACCAAGATATTTTTATGACACAAGGGAGTTTGGAATTTCTAGTCAACCTGCAGCCTAATTTTATATCTATTTATCAACTTTATATGATTAATTTATTAACTGAATATGTTGAGGTTGTATATTGATATGATTATTATTATTATTATTATTATTATTATTATTATTATTATTATTATTATTATTATTATTATTATTATTATTATTATAATTATTATTATTATTATCATTATTATTATTATTATTATTATTATTATTATTATTATTATTATTAATAATAATAATAATAATAATAATAACAATAATATTATTATTATTATTATTATTATCATTATTATTATTATATTATAATTATTATGAGTATCAGTAGTAGTATTACTATCGTTGTTATGATTATCATTATTACAACAATAATAGTCTAGCGATAGGGATAATAAAGACAGTAATCATAATAAAAACAGCAACAACAACCAAAACAACAACCTCGACAACAACGAGCCTATTCAATTTACCCAAATTTAACTTGAACCTGGTCGAAATGTGGGGGATTTGTTCATACAGAAAATTTGCTTCTCAAGTAAAATTACTCATAATTTTTCCTCTTTGAAATACTCAAAACAAATACCCACCACCAAAGCAATGGAGTGCCTTACCAAGGGTCCAGAAAGCTACAGAGGAATTCTCAGCTTTTCTGTCCTTGGAAACAAGTGTGACTACTGGAAGGATTACTTCTCAGATGACGATTATTTGAACTTTGGTTTCGGAGGAACTGTCCACAATGCCAGGAACTATTGCAGGTAACTGTAGTCTAGTACGCACATAGCAAAATCGGGGATGTGGGTGAAAAAAAAGTTCGTTATGTACGAATTCTGCTATGTACATGTTTTTAAATACAAAGAATATTCATGTTTTAAAAAATCGAGGCCTGAAAGTCTGTTCGTTCGCTATTTGTGTGCTTCACAATGTGCGTGCTAGAGTGTAAATACATATAACACAATACACTTTTCAAACATTACCTCTTTTCACAAGTTGTCAATGATGTCCTAATTTTTATAAGCACATGTTCTTTGGTGGTTTTTATAATGGAGAAAGCAGAAGCCACAAGTCACTTAACACTTATTTCTTTTGTTTCGCTTCAGGAACATTTCGCTCTGTAAATGCACTGGTCATCGTCAGTTTCGTAAGAGTTTTACGGCTCTTGCAACACAATAAAGTTATATACGTGCCAAAGAATAGATGTGTTACAATAGAGTAACATACACAAAAAAGAAGGAGGAGAGATCAGGACAAATGATGTTTGATTGGAAAGAAGGAGCGAACCACACCAGAGCACCCGCCAACCACCCACGGTCATCGTCAGTCACTGACGAACGAATGTGATATTTTGGAAGTTTATTTGGCGAGAGGGCATTGCTATCGGTACAATGTTTATTAAAATGTATAATCTTAACCCTGCAAATCGGCTCGTTGTTAATCTAAAACTCGGTTTTTCGGAAGCCGAACGTGCCGAAATTTATCTGACAAATGCAACTTATGGTTACGTGAAAAAAACCCCCAGAATAAGTCCATTCTTAGAAGAAGTCAGGGTGCTAGCCCTGAACTTAAACAAGAATTGTAAAAAAAATCCTTATGAATTCGATCAAGTGAAAAACAAATTTAGTTATTCCCAAACTACTTTGCACCAGCAAATCAAACCAAGAACAAACCGAGTTCATCTTTTTTCTTTTAGTTTGAAACAGGCTTTGCTGTAGTAGGGTATTAATAACTTAACCTGTTTTTCTCTCGACTCCTTCAACATTACCGAGTTTGGCACGTTTTTCCTGATTTATTTCTTCACAGAGGTTTCCCGAGACCCTACAATAATTCCGAGATTTCCAACAATGATGACCGCCCTTGGTGCTACGTCAATGGAGTCGTGGAAAGTTGCGGAGTAAACACCTGTCGTAAGTTCGTCAAGGATCTCGTTTTGGAAAATGTTGACATAATACGTCATATCATCAACAGACCAATAGTGATGTTGTGGTACATGTAGAACTACTATTCGCTAATGAAAAACCCCACCAATTTACCTATTTTACAGTATACGTGTTTTTGTATGTCTTTTAAAGGTTTTTTTTATAAAGAAAACATAACTCAATGATCTGTATGAATAAGAAAGTTGTGTTTCGTCTTTTAAGGGGGCCGGGGGGAGGGGGGGGGGGCTACACCCCCAAAGTCCCGATTCTGCTCAAAATTATGATATTTGAGTTGTAGGCATTTTTAGCTACCTCAACCTCTCTTACATCTATTTCATTGCAAAAGAACCCCCAAAAAACTCATTTCTTCCCATATCGGGCATGTTTGTCAACACCATTTCCTTATAAAGTCAATATTTTATTTTTCTTTAAAGGCAGTTTTCTCAAAACGCGACTTTTCTCTATACTTTTTTTAAATAACTCCACCATTTTTCATCCAATCTTCATGAAATTTTCACAGAATGAAGAGAAGATGTAATACTAAATATTGGTCTGTGGAATTTTTTATATGTGAAATAGATTTTTTTGGGTGGTGTCTTGAGCGTGGATTTTCACGGAGTTTTTGCAAACTTGAAAACTACCTCAGGAAAAAATTCATTAGATTAGAAATTTTCTAATTCGTTTGGAAAAGAAACAGCAGACAAATTTTTGATATTTATTGTGAAGACGCAAGCAAAAAAAACAACAAGAAACAATCAATTTCCATAAGCAGTAAGTGCGGCATTCATTACGTAAGACATGTCAACAAAATCCAATATGGCCGCCGTGTCCAGGGAAACGATACTTTTTTCTTAAATTTAATTGTGGATTTTAGGACTCCTTACTATGCTTGCTATATATGTGAAATGTGGTAAAATTCGGTCTACTAATAAGCGAGATAGCCTTCAGGTGTAGCCCCCCCCCCCCCCCCCCCCATTAAAGTGTCCCAAAACAGCGAGTTTCCAGACGTTGTCATGTTGAATGGCCATGTCGTGCGTCTTCTAAGAGTTAAGGCTTGGGATGCTTCTTTATAATCATATCGTGTCCTCTACCGATGAATGGCTAGTAGGCCACTTTACTACTCTCGACACTGTTCCTGTCTGCTCAAATTATCGTGTCAGTTTCCCTGTAGACATATAGTGCCACAGTCCTTTGGGCTATTACCGCTATGATTCACAAATTCCATACTTCAAACGGATAAGTACTCATTTACGGATGATAAATTTCAGGGAACGGAGACAAAGGTTTTCTGGTCGCAGGGGTGCAGTGTCCAGCTCAGGTCTATAAAGCAGGGGATCTTACCCACTATCAGTAGATTGCTAGTCGAACCTTTTGGGTGTCGCGGGAAGAAAGAGATGTCTCTCTATCGCCAGCCGGAGAGCTTGGGTCAGGGGGATGCATGGGTGGTTAGTGTTTCCCTGACTCCATCTATCCAGGTCTTTCTTGGTGGCCCTGAAGCCTTGTTGCCATCGATTTTTTATTATGTAGGCACGTTGCTGGATGGTGTGTTGGTAATCGTATGAGATGTCAGAACCATTTGATTCTTTGGTGTTGGATGTGATGCATGACATCATTTATGCGCACAATTTCTCTGATTACTGAGTTTCTAATTTTGTCTCGACTGGTCTTGTTTACTGCTTTTCTAAGGCATCGCACTTCGCATGTTGTAATTCTTTGCCCTAATGTCTTGTCAATGGTCCATGTTTGTCATTGATAGGTGAGTGTTGGGATAAATATGGTGTTGATCATTTTGAGTTTTGTTGCCATGGGGATGTTAGGATGTTTCAGTAGTGGAGTAAGCTGGTAACTAACATTATTGGCCTTTTGTACTCGTGTTTCAATGTCTCTGTTCAGTCGCCCTTCCTCTGCGAATATACTTCCAAGGTACTTAAATTCTTGGACCTGTCTGAGACTGTTGTTGTTGATGTGCATTCTGACTGGTCCTGGCTTTCTGCTAACTTTCATTGTCTCTGTTTTGTTGATGTTGATCTTCATGTCGTAGCTGTTACATTCTTCGTTTAATCTGGTGGTGTGATGTTCATCTTTGTGTGCCAGGCTTTCGTCATCAGCGATCAGGAGTAATTCGTTTAGGGCGTCTGGTTCTGTGTTGGCCTCTTTTGTAATTCTATCCATATATAAAAGTAAAAGTAAAGTATATTACGGTGGCTTTTTTGGGGGGAAGGGGTTGTTGTTTTCTTTGTAAAAGCCAAAGTTGTAACAGATTTTGTGCCCTGATAAGCAATTTCTGTCTTACATAAAGTAAAGAGAGCTTGTTGATTCATTGAAATGATAAACAAGAACAGAAAAAAGATAGTCTACTCTTTACTTTAATCATTCCAAACTTTGTGCAGTTGACACCTGCATCCCGCCCTGGAACACTGATGGCACGGACTACCAAGGATACCTGGACTTCGTCATGACAAACAGGGGCAATCGCTTATCATGTGACCCCTGGTACTCACAAGGCGATTTCTCAATGAGCGGCGCATGTCCAATGGCCTGGGTACAACTCTTCCCTTCCAGAAACTCGTCCCACAACTACTGCAGAAATCCCGACCGCAGGTACGAACTGGCGCCGTAAAGGTTGCTTATACTCAGAGATTTGAATGTGTAATCTTCTTTTTTGTGTGTGTATGCGGGGGAGGGGGTGCTTGTTTGTTTGTTTTCGTTGGTGGTGGGTTCTTTATGGGGAGTTCTTTTTAGGGGGAGGGCACTCAATTTGACGATGAATAATTTTTTAAGCTCCAAAACAGAAGGTTGGAACAAACAAACCAAAAACAACGCAAGACATGAAAAAAACTCTTCTCCTGGTGTGCTTCATCAGGACACACATGGCTTGGGCAAACATTTATCCATGTTTCCAGTTTGTGTAGGCTAAGTGTGCGGCCAAGATCGACACGCGGGGACTGGCGGTAACATCCTGGCTGCAAACAAATACATTTTCGTCAAAAACAACAGCAGCAGCAGCAGCAGCAGCACAGCAGCACAGCAGCAGCAGCACAGCAGCAGCAGCAGCAGCAGCAGCATCAACAACCACAACAACCACAATAACAATAACAAAATAACTTGTTTTCAGTGACTCGCTTCTCAAACACTAGTAGTGGTGTAGATGTTGGTTAAGAACATGACCGACATGCAGAGTCGTCTGTAGGGTTCAATATTTTCGTTTCTGAAATATTTCTCACGATATGGTGGAAACTCCTGAAGCGTAAGAAATAACTTACGTCACATGTGATGGACGTTTTAAGCAAAAAAACAAAGGAATGGTTGCATTTTCCGGAGATCTAGAGGAGAAGTAATACAATACAATTACAAACTTTGCATCGCTGTTTGATGACCTGTTGCTCATCCTAGCTTTAAAAAGGCTTGCCATGGTTCACTGAAATCTGTTGGGGGTTTTTTAAGTCTCTGAACTTCTACAGTCACTGAAAGAAAACACCATTTTATGGCATGTGTGCTGACTCGATCATCATCATCAAGTGCTTGATCTACGACAGACACCGGCCCTCATGGTTTTTCATTCATTCCTTTGCCCGGGTGCTCTCCAAAAAAAAGATACACTTTCCTAATCTTTATGTGTCCCCAATCTGCTCAGATCTCGATAATAACTCAAGGTGGCATGTATCAAATGTCATTATAATACAATAATATTGTAACTGTGATTCACTTCAACTCTTACAAGTTGTAACCCGGTTCCTTTCTTTTTAATCAATTAATTTTTTTTTCAGGGATTTAGTAGCAAATATGCATACATGTATTTGTTTTGGTAAGTGACTTACGGCGCTCACAACTGCATAAGGTCATATGAGCGCACGGCACACAAACATTTTCAGTCGGTAGGAAATTTTGAATTTTGCCCGGATAGCGGCCGAAGCCTACTCTTATCGATTTTGGACCACCAAGGGATCTTTGACGTGCACAACTTACACACGGGACCTCCGAGATTTTTAGCCCTTGTCCGAGAAGGCTAGGTGTAGATCTTTCCTACCAGGGGTGTAACAGAAAGACAGCAATAAGAAGGAGTCAAGGAGTACCAGTAGAAAGGCTGCAGAAAGAGTTAGGAGCCCAGAGGAGGGGCAAAGGGGGTGAGGGGTGGGGGCAGAAAGTGAAGACGAAAGTAGGCGACAGAACATTGTTAGGAAGCAGAAAAAGAGGTGTAAGGAGGAAATTTTAGAGAAGAAAACTTTCCGTCGCCATGCGGTTTCGAATCCGGGACTTATTGAAAAAGAGGTGAACACCTTAACCTCAAGACCACGAGAGCCCTGCATACATGTATGTTAGCCTTTTCATCGTCAACCCCCGGGGCAGTGCCACTGACTGTAGTGTCTTTAGGCCATTCCCAAAGGGGAGACATTTCTCGTTCAAGCATAGTAGAATTGTAAATGGGCTGACTCATGTCACACTCATAACTGTGCCTGATCTACAACAGGGAACTGCCGCTTTTTCTTTCCTGATCCTTACTATTGTCATTTTCCTCAACTTCTTTTGTATGTTTGTCACTCTCTTGTGACCTGCTATTTCCGGGGTGCCTTGATAGTCGAAGCAGACCTTGTGTTGTTGAAGCTAGAGAGGTGAGCAGTCTAAGTCTGATCCCTGTAAAGACTTCTCTGTTGACACCCACCCCTTGGCGCTCATATGACCTTGTGCAGTTGAGAGCGCCGTAAAACCCTCTACTATAAAAAAAAATTCATCTTAAAAAGGCAGGTTTTAAACTACGAGCTCGCTTTAGTCACTAACACCTTCAGAAAAAATGAAAATTTTTATACAAGGATACAGCTATGGTACAGACAAGCTGATGTTTATAGTATAAATGAGGGGGGGGGAACAACCAATAATGGAGTGTCTACTCAGTAGACGACCAACCTCTAAGAGCTCCTGTTGACAAGACCATGGCTTCTGAGAATAATTCGTCTAAGCATGTGAAGTTTCTTAAATGTCAGTTACACCCCCCACCCACCCATCCCATCCCATCCAATCCTAACCCACCCCACCCAACCCCACCACCAACCTTCTGTTTCTCCCAATTGGCAATCATAAATGTTTCCTACTCAAGTTGAATATTTTTTTAAAGTACACATTATTAGCATATAAAGGACTTGCGTTCATTTAATAGAGATCTAGTTGTATTTTTTCAAGTGAAGACTAAGAGTAACTTGAATGGACAAAATGAAAACATGGAGTGGCCCGGATATGACAAAATGTGCAACGGCAGCTCACGACCGTGAAGGGTGGAAGGCCATTACACGTCAACTTCTGAGTCAAAGATGACACCTCCAGGTATCTAGGTAGATATATTATAAATCCTAAACTATTTCCTTACTAATTTCAGAAACAATGGCCCTTGGTGTTACGTGACTAGAACCACTCGCCACGGAATGCGTCAGGATGAACCCCCAATTATGCAACTGAATGAGGCAACAGTGATAAGCGAAGAAGAACCCGTAAACGCTACCCAGAATAAGAGGCAAATAGCCACGTCATGTAATGTTCCCGTATGCCGTGAGTACATTTTCCCCTTACTCATTTCTATGAAATTGACGCCATCTGATTTGGTAGTGAGGGATGATGTGAGGTGGTGTTTATGTAGATGAGTATTGAGAAATAATGCGATCACTCGCTGTCAGCTGGGTTTTTTTTATGTCATAGTTAGTCCTATCTTTCTCTGCTCGAATGAGTCACGCAAGGGACATGGGTACCCTCTATCTCGTTCCCTACTGGAACCGTGAGGTGAATACACTATACACACAGACACATAATATGTCATTTTCTTCAATTCCTCGTAATCATACACACACACACACACACACACACACACACACACACACACACACACACACATATATATATATATA